ACAAGACGAACTCTCAACTCTTGAGCCACGATCGCCAAAATCGATAGGTCGGTGCTGATTTATGAGTGATCGTTCCAGGTTAGGTTGGGGCCTCATCATGGGGAGACTCCACCTGTCAGTTAGCTTGGAAACAACTTAATGTGTCTCTGGAAGAGCTGAAGGAAGTGGCTGAAAGTTCTGGGTGACTCTGTTTAGGCTACTGCTCTCACAGTCTGGACCCAAATAAGCAACAGAAATGGATGAATGGATGGGGACACAAACTCTTTTAAATAAAAGTCCTTTTTTTGACCCGTGCATCCACAGCAACCTCAGCCTCATAACTGGTACGGTCATCTGACATTTCTGAGTATTTCTCCTAGAAATGTTTTCCGGCAGAAAATGTTGAAGTAATTTTTTGCACTACTTGCTGTTGTTCAGTGCTTTATGAATTTTGAAGTTGCTGTGGAAAATGAGCGGAAACATTTTTAGTCTACTGCAACATTGCTCATCACTTTTTTTTGTCTCCACATTTACATTTACAGCACATTTGTGTAACCGATTGAGTTGCACTTGGAGTATGTTTTGTCTGTTTTAAGTGTTAAGCTTATAAAGTATTAAAACTTATGTATAAGGCTAACACTTAAAAACAACAACAACTGTGTGTTAATCCACTTCAGGGCCAGGAGTTTGTACTTTTGTGCATTCTGCATAAAAAACTTTTAGAAATTTCCATTTCTTAAATTTATTTTGATGTACTTTGATTCTGGTGGTGTTATGCTTTTAGCGCTGCAACCCTAAAAGACTTGCAGGACACAGTTTCTTGCAGCTCTCACAGGAAACACCCGCAGAGAGAGCCCATCATGAGGCCATTTTGGCATCCATAAGTATGATTGATGACATAGGGATGCAGACAGCGAGAATTCCCCTCTGCCATGAGAAAAATGATGATTGTTTGGATTTTTTTTTTCTCCCTGTTAGTGCCCCCCTCTGCTTCTCAGTGGGACACATTTACATTACGTTAGCAACCTATACACTCAAAGCCTGGGGCTACCAAATACAAACAAAACAACTCCCGTGGATCTCAAAAGTCCATTTATCTACAATTTTTATCACAAATACTTCGATGTTTGTAGAGTAAAATGTAAAAAAGGTAAAACATGCCATTATCCCTTTCAGGACCTCACCCCCAGATCTATTTCAACATGTGTGACTGGCAGGAAGGTCGCAATAATTTCACAATACATCACAGCAACAGTGGAGTGTGCTGCAGGGGCTAACAAAGTCACCTGGCCATTCCCTTTGCAGGCACTGCCATTTAGCCCTTTTTAATCCCCTCCATCCCATTACATGACAGTAGAAGACCTGTGCACATTACATGCTTCAGTAGAGATCATTTGCCTCGCGCAGGCAGCCAAAGATCACATAAAATATTACCACCCGTTATTTCTGTCCCACCTCCATCTCCTGACTGGCAGTAAACAGAGCTGGACGTCAAATGATAGCATAGTATATGACATCCTAAGAAGTTCCATTGAATCCCGCAGTCTGCCATATGACTCACTCTCCACGTCTCAGACATCGGGTAATCGACTGAGTGGAAACTGAGACAGCAGATAAGACTGAGTGCAGGTCTTAACTTTAACAAGCAATAAAAAAGTGGATTTTAGAGGCAAAATATAATTAATTTGCTTACAATTAAATTAAACAGATATAATTAAAGTCTTCTGAGAGGGTGATTCATATTTTAAGATGGGCAAACATTCCAAAGACTTTGCAATTCACAAGTTCATACCTATTTTAAATATCTTCACAGTATACTAGCTTCCAGCCCGGTCTGGTCAGCAGAAAGAATCATCGGTTAAGTCTTGTGGAATTACTGTACTCGCTGAGCCTTCAGGCTTTGGATCATAACAACATTTTTGTCAATAACACCATCTCCAGTGCTGTCATTCCCCCTGACCTGGTTCCTCTATTGAGCCCAAACACAAACACACACACACGAAAACACACACACAGAAAATCTGGGGTACTAAGCTTTTCATTTCAACTCCAGGAGAAGACGTGGTAGTTATTTCAACATTTTAAGTAGTGCAGAAATACTCTCACAATAGCACCCTGATGTTTCACGGTTATTATTTTCACTCTATTAAAATTGCAGTGGTTGCAGTGAATTACTCATATTGGCCAATCTTATAGAAAAAGTTTGGGTAATATAAAAAAGTAATAGATATATATTTCAATAGTATTTTAATCTGATTCATTTAAATATAAGTACAATCTAATTTAATAAAAACACAACTTTACAAATACAGAGTTTCCCAAATATGTTTTCCAGTCTCTAACGGCATCACATCAAAAGCAGCAAAACCACACACACATCCATCTGTCACAGACTTCGAGAAATCAAACCGCCAAGTGAGACCATTCAACAAAAAATGCACAGCATGCAGCAGCAGTGAAAGCACCATTTGTGGAGGTGGACCAGTAATAAGTTTGAGATTTCCCCTAAATCGTCAGTGATTTTAATAGAGTGTGATGGCAGTTGTGAGACTGGCACAAACAGCAAAACAGGAAGCTTTTGAAGCTCTAAAGTAACTTAAAATTTTTTGTAACTTTAATGATCAAGTCGTCCGTCCTAAACAGCTCTTCAAGTCATCACGAACTGCACAAAAACAGTATTTAAGTTTGCATTAATCTGTGAATTGGTGTTAATGTCATTTGCAATCTGTCTGTAAACTCCACAAATCATAAAATGTGAACAGTAACGTGCCCTTGACACACTCATTGACTACACCACTACCTCTACATCATGTGTGTAATATAAATGAATGACATTTCAGTGAAAAAACTAAATAACTAAAAAGGGGCCGAAGCTAAAAGCAGATAATGCTGCATTATTAACAACATCTGCCAAGTGAATTTCATAAAAATATATCCATCCATCCATTTTCTTAACCCCAGGGAAGCTGGGATCTATCCCAGCTGTCATTAGAGCTAAAGGAAGGGTACACCCTGGACAGATCGGTAGTCTGTTGTGAGGCTGACACGCAGGGAGACAGAAAACCATTAACGCTCATATTCATGGAGTGCGAGAGGAAGCCGGAGTTCCCGGAGACAGCCCATACATAGGCAGGGAGAACATGCAACCTTCCCAAAGTAGCTTAGTAAAGTAAAGTAAAGTAAGCTTGTGGATTCAAACCCAGTACACCCTAGATGTGAGGCAACAGTGCACAGCACCACCACTGTCTATAATGTTAAAAAAAATACACATATTTTAATAAGCTATATTACTCAATTATAGTCCAAATGATGTCATTTATCCCCAAATCAGTTATTAAACCAAAGGCTCTATTTTTAGGAGATTAAGTAAAATAGTGCAAACAAGTCGTGTGCCAGCCACGAGATTAAATTTTAAATCAGTTCAGACTAATATAAACTTACATAGCGAAAAAGAAAGCTCTCTGCATTTACTACATTTCTGCTAAGAAGCAACTTGAATGTTTTTTCATTTATTTATTTATTGATAGGACAATGTTACGATTTTAATCAACTTTTAATCAAAAGGAATTTGCAAATTTATTTTAGGCAAGATCTGGCTTGGCTTGAAAGTTGTTTGCATGAGTAAGAGGCAATGAGCTTTGAGCCCAGAGGACATGTCTATCACTGTGCAAATTTGCTGAGTTGTTGATAAAGCGTTTCTCCCGAAGACATGTAAGGTTGTGACTCATTCAAAGAGAAGATCAAAAGACTTTTATTCAGGGTGACATAATTCAGGAAAGAGACAGATTGGATTTTTTCCACTCATTCCAGAGATTAGTTGTGATGTCAGAGACACAGATCCAACGGATTTAATCAGTTAGTTATTCAACCCGTCTCTGAACAGGTGTGCCTGTTATCAAATATGCAGCCTTTTACTTGTGCCAGATTCCCTGATTTATAGAAAGAATAATTGGCCTTGAAGCATAACAATGACGACCTGGAGAGACAATTCAATGAAAGAGGCGGAAAGGGGAGACTGCCTCTCATCCATACTCCTGTTCTGATGACATAATGATATTTATATCCAAACTATGCCTGAAAAACAGACCGATTTAATTTAAGTATCGCTGCGGTGAAACACTGACGCTGTAACCTTAAGTCATTTTTCAAATCATGTGTGTAATGTGTAATCAAGCCCAGAGAACACCAAGAAAGATTTCAACAAAACATCATAAAATCTGCAGTTTTACATGCCAGTAGGGATGCATCGGGCCTGCCTTATTTCGCACAAGGTATATTTAAGATAATTACTTATTAGGCTTGTGGCAGAAACCATGCAATGCCAAATGAAGTGAGCAGCGGTTGTAGTCTACTGCTTGAGCATTGCATGAGCTTCATTTTATCTAATCACCCAATTTTCACAGGACAAGAGTTAATCTGTACAGCTGTCCACTCACTGGGCTCCCTACTTGGTTTTCACCGTCAGAAACCTCTACTGGAGACATGCAGACACATTTCACACTCGGCATTGATAGGGCAGGATAGCCGGTATGACATATACATATATATATATATATATATAACTAAATAAGCCTGTAGTTATGCGTTCAGGCAGTTTACATGCGTGGGTTCCCGATTAGAGCAGATCTCTCCAAACAGCTGTGGGAAGCTCACTACCCCCAGGTAGTCAGTCAGGAGCGTTTTGGAAATCAAGTAGCTCACATCATTTGTATAAAGTTAACTTCAGTGAGTGAAAATCACAGCAGGTACTTTGTGAGTGACAGGTGGTTGAAAAGCTGGAACCGATTAGTTGGACGTGGTGCAGTCGCAGTAGCGTACCCCTGCAGCATTAAAACGATTTAGCGTCTTAAATGAGTTGCAATAGGACTGCTGAGTATTTTTAACTTTTCCTCTCAGATATAAACACTTAACACAGACGCGTTTACTATTATTATTTTATTTTGTAAAAGTCGCTGCATATTCCCGATCATTTCGGATGCTGTAACCGGCAGGTCGTGAGCCAGTAACTCAGTCCACCCTACCTGGGATCTCCTGATGGGGAACATGTGAGAAGCCAAAGCCTTTCGCGATGGAAGCCTCCCTCACCTCGCTGCAATTCCTCGCTTTAAATTCGGCTCTTGCCGCAACAGACAGCACAGAAAAAGTGCAAATGATGGTCTCCAGTCTGAGCATCGTTCACTTCTGTACAGATCCCTCACTGTTTAGGTACTCTGCAGTGTCCCGCTTGCTGGCAAAACTCCCCCCTCCTGCAGCAGATTCGCAGGTAGACTATTTAATGACTGGTCGTTTTTAGTGGTTGAAACTCAACTATAGTCTCTTAACACATCCCCCAAAGCACAACGGGTTTGTATCGCCACCGAGTTCAGTTGAAAGTCCCTCGGCGCAGTAGAAAAGAAAGCTGTGAGCGTAAAGGTGCCACATGAATCCAAGGAGCGCGTTTCCCGGCTTGTTGACTCAACTTCGCTCAGCAAAGAAAGCCCATTGTAGCTGCGTTGAAGTGGAAATGCTCTGTGGAGGAGAGCGCTGTGTGTTCAGATGCACCGGCAGGGCAAAAGCGGGACACAAAACGTGGAGTGGAATCGAGCCTCATCCAGTGTAGCAGGTCGGCACCTGCATATGAGATACAACCTGGTAGAAAGTAACAAATACATAAAACATCCTGTAGGTGCTATTGGATTAAAAATGGGAAGATATCGAGCCGACTTTAAAATTGAATCGCTGCCATAAATGCCTGTGGGTATATCCCATTGTTTTTCGTGAATTATATATTTCGTGTTTATGTGAATTATAGAATGCAGTCTGTTACACTTGGATTTTTTTTCCCTAATATCTGCAATTTAACAAACCTTTACTTGGCCTGCACGTTTATGCTCCACTGGGGAGGTGGCAATTCTGCTGAGCTTAGAAAATGCAAATGTTGATATTTTTTCACTACATTCATCTGATACAGAAGCAAATTATCAGGTTCTGTAGTATCAAACTGTATAAGTCACGAATGTAAAGGATTTGATTAAGACCAGAAGGCAAGCTTTCACAGTTTTATTGATTTTGGAAGAGCTTAATCCCTGGGTAGATCAACAGTGGATTAACATGGCTCCCATCACTATGCAAAGGATTCCAGTGGGATGGGTTACCACATTTCGAAAGTTCTTTAAAAGTGACACCAGCTTGTTTCAGATGGTAGCACTGGAAGATCTTCAATTAAATATCCAAATCCAAGGGGTTCAGGTTTAAGGGCAACACTGAGGCATGTTCTGCTTTACTGATTAAAGTGCCTGTATTCTGGCTTTATGAGGCCACATTCAGTTCCCCACATGAAAGACGGTCATTAGAATTCTTAATGTATGTTCATGTCGATCATGTCCTTTGAGAGGTTCCGAGAAGTTGCATAATGAAAACACTGCTAATCACAGCGTCAAAATACACTTGTACTCCCTTTTATGTTTGCAACTGGTCAAACACTATTCCCCAAAAACAAATGTAGTCCCCCTGTTTTGACATTCAGTAAAGGGATGATAGAATTAGTCGTTAGTCTCTTCATCCTTTAGTGGTTCCTTTCATGAATTCTGTGCTCTACTTTTATAGTGAGACATTTTGACCTGGACATGTCACACTTTAATGTATACAACTTTGAAACCCAGGGAATGATTTCATCCAGATGAATAATTTTAATACAATAAAGAATTAATCACAACCAAGATGGCTTTCAAGTTTCCTAACTACATAGTAATATGCTGCTCTAACTTACCACATGCATTCCTGTGGTAAGATTTCAAGGCATTCCCAAACCAGCCAGTGATGTAGAGTAGTAAACATGATGTCATAGAAGCATTAAAATGTGGACCCAAAAGCTTGGACATGGGACGAGGCAGACTGCAAGTAAAAAGTGAGCCATTTATTCTGGCTAATCAGAGTTCATACGTAAAAACAAAGTGAAACACTGTCTGGGGAAACAACAAAGCATAAAGTTAGCCAAAGTTCTGCTTTAAATAGAAACATGAGGTAATCCAGGATATGGGAAACACCCAGGTACAGAGCTGAATCTAATCAGACATTATCAAGACAAGGGAAGCATAAATACAAGGCACATGGGACAAGAGCTACCAAAACAAACAGGAAGTACCGACACAGAAAAACGCCTACCACAGAGACTAAGACTTGATAACAGTAAACGGGGATACAGGAGAGGTCAGATGAACTGAAAACTCATGGACATATACTCATGGAAAAAACCCCCACAAAAGATAACCTAAAATACAACTTTAAAAAACTCCAAACACTAGGTCAGAGACCCAAGAACATGAAGTGCAGTAGCATTTAACTTTATTATCTTGTCAAAATCACAGAACCTACTTGTCGAAACAATAAACACTTCAGCCGTCAAGGTGACAAAAGTATAACTTTGGCATACTGTCACACAAACGGTTCAGAACAAAACAAACAGAACTTAATAGAAGAGAAACACTGAGTGCTGTGACACCGACAGTGCTTATTATGAGAACATTAGAAGGTGAAGAAAGGCATAGTAACAACCTCTTAAGTCTCGCAACCAAGAGACAAAAACACACATCACACATACACAGGTGAGTTCAGTGTTTGAACTGCAGCTAAGATATTGTCTCATAAGCTGCTGTTAATAAGTAACACTAACACCTGGTGCAAGCTAAAGTGAGAGGCTTAGACATTTTTTCTGCCACTGACAGCTGCACGTACAGCACCTTGGAGAGCACCACATATTCACCTCTTACCTTGGCCATCACATTTGTTTTCCTTTTAATATGGCGATTACACAACATTATTACAGGACTTTTCATCGTGTCCTATCCCACCTCCAAATTAAAGCTTTTATTTAAAAGCATTAACTTTTATTTATTTATTTTAAGGCGGCGTTCATAAACAATTAACTAACAAATGAAGAGATTGTGCACCTGTCTCCATCTGTTCCACCAGTACACATTCATTCTAACCTGCACAGTGTGAATCAACTGATGATCAATCTTTCAGTTAAAATGGTAAGTAATAAAGATGCTCTTGTAACCAGTGGGGACTGGCTGGGATGATGATGGTTTATGTGAGTTTGTGTATTGTTTAATTATGTTTTGTGTACTTTTCTGTTCACTTTATGGTAGCTGGGATAGTATTGCTAAGACCTGTGAATTGACTTTTTATTTTCACTTGCTACAATCTTTAATTAGCTCTGTCAATACTGCACAGTTTCTAAGATAAGAAAACTGAAATAAATCAACACCATTAGGTAAAGAAGATAAGCTAAGGTAAGATTGGAACAAAAAGGGTCTGACTGTAATAAAAGTTTAGAAACTGACAAGTGATTTTTTTCCCCTAGAGAAGCACTGAGGGGTTTATGTTTTTGAATGGAAATTGATATGGAGAATGCAGATAAACTATCCAATGCACATTACATAATATTTGACCTAACTGCAAGTCATGACAACAAAAAAATATGTATTTTAATATGAGTTAAATTGTTCTACCTGCCCTACATCCTAATGCACTCGGATTTCTCCCCAATATCGACTCAGGCTCTGTTCACATTCCTCATACAGATGAGAAAATCCATGTTTATTCTCTGTACAAAACAAAAAAAAAAAACAAGGCGGTACAATAAGAAGTGCTGGGATCTCAGAGCTGATGCCTTGAATCAAAACAGCCTGACTGTTGTTTTTGGCTGTGTCCACAAATTTTCACAAACGTGAAAGGGGTAAGGAACAGCTTATATGGATTTGATATCAAATATGTGGCAAGCAAAGCGAACGCTTCACTTAATCTCAGGAAGATGAATGCAGATTTCTGTCAGTGTGTCGGACTAAATGACTCATTGGCACGACCACAATGTACAAGCTAGATGTACATCTTCTCCAAATCCTCAATACATGAGGAAAAACAACAATATCGCCATGATCCCTCAATTATTCTAGTTGGATAAAAACACTGCATTGTGCTGAAATTTGCTGTCGCGTCCAAGGTTCAACCAATATAAATCTTCTTTCATGCATGTTTAGTGTAGGCTTTCCTGATAGGCTGTGTAGTGTAATTCAGAAACCTTTTTTTATTCTGGCAATATAAAGACTTTGTTCCAAAATCATCTCAAAACACAGCAAAGAAATATGTTAATTGCTACATCCCTAAAATCTCTGGTACAGGATTTTGTGTCATAAATAAATGTGTTTATGTTTTAAAATTCTGGGACAAATATCGACAAATTACATAACAGCAAGAAGTCACTTTACAACATAATGCAATCTGGAAATATGAAATGCATGTTCAAGGATTTCAGAACTATTTACCATCCTTCTGTTTGATGTGAATAAGCTTACAATCAGTTTCTGTAGAAGACCTAAAAATATGGCCTCAGATTTGAATCAAACACAAAGTAGAAAACTACCAGACAAAGCTTTTAAAAATACAATCATGTGTCTCATCTGTCCTTATTCTGAAAAGAGTATACTCAAATATTTGTTTAAATCATGTAATTAAAATTTCCATCAGTGGTAGAAAGTCTAAAAATTATTAAGAAATATTAATGTACGGGACCATGATTCAGTTGTCTGAAGTTAAAGAAGCACTTTTAGCTTCACTAACAAGAAGCAGTCGTTTTCTGTATGACTGCATTAGTCTCTCAGCTTTACAATGTTGCTTCAGTTTGTGTACATTCATTTATGCGCAGCACTCCTTAGGTCTTGCCACAGCATTTCAATTGGATTGAGGTCTGGACTTGGTCATCTGGACCATTCAGGTGTGAGTTATAATCTCCCGATCAGAGGGCATCCCAGCAAATTCACCTCAAGGTCAGAACATGCAGTGCTGAGAGAAACTGCAAAAACTGCCAAGAGCTACATCTCCGACTACACAGGCCTCAGTTAGCATGTTAAATGTTTAAGTTCATGACATTCTGAAACAATGTTCACTGGAAAGTGTCTTGTTTGAGTTGAGCTTTTGGACCGGGCTACTTCGACACCTTAATTCTTTGCTTTTTTTAATCATTCTCTCGTTGATTTGCGGGGGTGCTTGGGATCATTGTCATGATGTAGCTCTTAGGTTTCTCTCTGAGGATTGCAGGTTCTCACCTTGAAGTGAAATTGCTGGGATGTCCTCTGATTGGAATATTGTGGCACTGTGTTAACATATACCTGAATACTTCAGATGACCAAACTGCAAAACCTCCACCACCTGATGATCAGATAATGATGTGCATTTGATTAGCAGCATGTGGCTGATACTTTTTCACATGCCTTTATAGTTAGGTCACATTTTCCACAATTTTGTGTACAAGAAGTGTATTTCAAACTTAAAAAAAAAATGCATAGTGGCTAAAATGAATATTTTCTCTCTTTCTTTCAGTACCACTGTTGATTTGAACACGGACTGAATTAAAATAGTAAGCATTACACTGGTGACAATTTGCCACAAGCCTTTTTGTTTATGAAAATTTAAAAGAAAGACCAGAAATTGCTAATTGAATAATAACGCTGTCATGGGTTAATACCAAATAGCCAACTAATTATACTCTTTTCTACATGTCATTTAGCCAGAGAAAAAACATCATCAGAAACAGTAGTCAAAGC